AAGTATTTTTTGATGTCATAAGTGGGCATTGGACTTCATGATGACACTGGTATCTAGTGGATAGAGACCAAATTACCTACTAAATATCTTTCAATGCACATACCAATACGCTCATAACAAAGAATAATCTATCCTAAAATGTCAATAGTACCAGCACTTCTAGATGTCATACGAAATAATAAGCACTTCACTGACATATAGGGGTTTCATAAAGGTAGAGCATGGTAGAAGAAGAACATGATAAAAAGGAGGACATGAAGCAAAGTTGAGAAAGGTTATAGTTGGAAAAAATATTAATAGACAAATTTGGAAAGAAATTCTCTAATTTTCTGAGCATTGTCCTTTGTCCTAAGATTCTTCAGTCTATAGCTGGGCTAGAGTTGTGTTCTTCTGAATTGAATATGAGGGTACAGAGGTCTCAGTAGCAGAAATAAAACTGTTTTGATTACTGTTCCCAACTGCCAAACCACACTCACTGCCTGACCCAACTCATCGCGACCCAGCTGCTCCTTTGGGTTTCTGAAACTGTACCTCTTTATCGGAGAGAAAGCCTCCGCTTCCTCCTGCTGAACAACTAGTGGTTTCTAACTGATGACTGGCCGTTAATAAACCAATTTATAACTACTATTCCTTCAGGGCGCCCTTTATTAATATGCATAGATCTCTTATTATCTAGTGGGCAATCATCTATGCTAAAATATTTCTAGAGCTAATTATATATAAACCTATCAAAACCTAAGCACCAAATCTTACATAGGCTTTCCAAGGCTGTACATAGTCAAAGGAAAAGATAGCCTCATCTTTCTCTCGCAGAGCAATTGGTGGGTTTGAACCACCAACCTTGCAATTAGCAGTTGCAATGCAGATATGCCGCAGTGCCATAAGTGTTATTTTTCTCTTTCCATATCTCTATATGCTCAAAATTATAGTTTTTGTGAACTAGACATATAAAATAGAGTGAATAGTCCTTCCCAAATGGAAAAATGTTAGAAAGTTAGAATTTATTCAGCTAGATATGTTTTCCTTCTTCTAGGGTTATTAAAACTTTCATTTGAATTAAACATAAAGGTGCTATGGAAGACTGGACAAAATAGCTTATGGTTTATTCAAACCAGTCACAAGAAGAAACAATGCAACATTTGCTGGAAGGAATGTGTAAAGAAGGGAAATCCCTTGGGTAGAGCGCTGGGATAACATTTTGACAATATAGATGAAGGTCAGGAATTTGGAGAGAGAGAATGGCAAAATCCCCTCATCCATTTCTCTCTCTCTGTTGCCATTTAATCACTTTAGAATAATCATGTTGGTTAGCATTCATCCTACAAAAAGTGTGCCTTACCCTCTAGTACTTATGACAGTGTCTCAAGAGCTCCATTTGCAAAGTAGAATTTATACACTAACTCCTCCATTATTAACATAGTTAGTTTACAAAGACCAGGCCATTGTGCAAAGTCAGCATTATGAGGAATTTCAAAAGCAGGACTGTATCTTCAGAGCTTGCCTCCAAACCCAAGCACTCACTGGCTATTGGGTACTGTAAGCATGTCTCAGGGTGCACGTGACAGGGAAGCCTTCATTTGTCACAGCACCTTCCCCATGACCATGGAGCTTGGGAGGACTGGGAGTGATGGTATCGTTGGTCAGCTGTTTCCCCAGTCATCTAGCCCAGTGAGGCTTCCTTTCCAGCCTTTCCCTTTCTACTTCCCTACATCATCTTTGCAGACACCTTTCTGCTCTTCCTTTTCCTCCCCTTGCACACCTTCAACTCCTGTTGCCCTGCCATTACTCCAAGCCGTCTGTGGCCAGACCAAGAGTACAAACAGGAAAAAGTTTCCTGTGACAGACAGTCACCATTCCTATTGTGACTCTGTATTGAGGTTTCTAGATACACTTCAGGGTGGCCTGTAGAGGGTGCCCCATATATGGCCCTGGTTCACCTGGGACTACAACTATCGAAAGCACTGCTTACCAATTTCTTTGAAGTTGTCTATAATGTGAACTACCAGGTTATAGGTGTATCTGAACCTACCTCACCAATTGATTGATTATTAGATTATGTACTTAATAATCACTAAATATTATTATATTATTCTAATTTTATAAAACAAGGTTGATTTCTGTCCATGCATTTACCACAGAATATGACATTATCAGTCAAATGGAAAAACAACAGACATTATCTCTCGATTGTGTTGTCTACTCCATATTGTTTTAAAGAGTGGCAGTCATTGATTCTGAAGTTCAGAGACCCGAATAGCTGTCCTGAGGTATAGAGTAAGTCAGAGTAAAAAAGAGGAACAATTAGCTGATATATTTTCTTTTTGATCATAAGATTTTAATTTTTTTATTTCTCTACCTTGATTCACCTTCCATCATGATGACCCTTTTCATTAAAACATTGACCTTCAAATTCATAGATCTCCTTTTCACCTTTTAATTATTTAAAAAATAAATTTATTGGGGGCTCGTACAACTCTTATCACAACCCATACATACATCCGTTGTGTCAAGCACTTTTGTACATTTGCTTCCCTCATCGTTCTCAAAACATTTGCTTTCTACTTGAGCCCTTGGTATCAGCTCCTCATTTTTCCCCTCCCTCCTCGCTCCGCCCTCTCCCATGAACCCTTGATAATTGATAAATTATTATTATTTTGTCATATCTTACATCATCCGACGTCTCCCTTCTCCCATTCTCCACTGTCCGTCCCCAGGGAGGAGCTTATATGTTTTCAATATAATCCACTGCTCTTGAGGCTATTCTGACCCATGGAGTAGAGAGGTTCCTTAGGCTTTCTGAAATTGCAGATCTTCATGGGAGCAAACAGCTTCTTTCTCCTGAGATTTTCCCTAGAGTTTTCCGTAATTGAAAACACAATGGCAAAAATATTAGAACAGGTAAAATACGCTAGAATGACAGTTGGCAAGTGGCATGTTCATGGAGAGGGCCAGCTAGTGAGTATTTTAGGGCTTGCAGGCCGTATGGTCTCTGTCTCTCAACTATGCCAGTCTGTCGCAGCACAAGAGCCTCTATAGATGACATGTCATAGGTAGATGGGACTATGCGACTATAAAATTGTAATATACACAACCAGGTGAGAGCCAAACAGAGTTCACCTAATAATACATTTGGGACTTTTGGTCTAGAAAAAAGGCTGTACAGAAATGAATTTCTCCTAAATAATGGTATGATTCTATAGAATATTGCTTATTTATGTGTGAATATTCAGCATATTTCTCATAGGCCTATAGTTAGTTACATCACTAGGGAGTTTATACATTGAATTTTCTTTTTGCATCTTTATATATGTGTTAAATGGTTCCTTTTATGTGAGCCACAAGTTACAACTTCAGCTAAAGGCTGAGGGCAATGATTGTGAAATCTTCACACATCTCAGTCTTAGTCACATTCTCACAAAGCTTCCCAAGAGGCAGTCACAGCAGTGTCTGTGAGCCTTACTCGCATCAAGAGAAGTTTAGATATTTATAATAAGCATATGTCCACTCTGCCTGTAAAATCCTGCAAGTACGATGGTATCCTCCTCTCCCCTATGTGCCCAGTGCCTCCCTTCGTGTGTAGGGGCACACAGAGAAAGGATTATTTCTCTCTAGCTGATGCTGACCAAGATGTAGAATGTGGAGCTTGCTTCTAACAACTCCTGGAATTTGAGTAGTCTTTGAAGTTATTATAACTAATATCAATCTATTTATCTCCCTTAAGAAGATGGCGTATACCACTCACATTTGTTGGAGGAAAGAAGGGTTCTCTAGGGCCAGATGATACTTGCAATGAGAGTCCAGAAAGTATGTCTACTTCCTGTGCTCTAAGAGGTCCACTTCCAGGGCAAACGGATGATCACAGGAAAGAGATGTAGTGGTGAGGGTATCGACAGGCAGGAATGGAGGGTTGAGGATCCGGAGAGGTACTAGCAAGGATAGGTCTTCTCTGCTGATTGACTTTGACTAAAGGACTTCCCGTCAACATTATGAGATATTCTTGGAACTGCCTTATGGTCTAAATTTCTTCCAGCTCAACTATCTTCTCTATCTTTTCTCTTTCACAAGCATCAGACTTGCTCTGTTTTTTGATGACTCCCAGACTTCTCCAGCTTCGAACCCATTTACCCTTTACAAATGGTTGCCCCAATAAATAACTTTCATGGCTAATCCCATCTTGTCAAACACTTCTCTAAGAACTGTAGCTAACAAAATGGATCTGTAAGAGTTTTTTTTTTTTACATATGGAATTGTAACTTATTCTCTATTTCTTTGGATTACTTAGGAAGTTTCTCTTCTTTTGGTACCTATTGAATAATGTAATTGTTTCACTATTATTATATTTGCTATAGGAGGAGAAGTTAGAATTTTATGTGAGCTACTTGCAAACAGAGAATCCCTATCCTTGTTTAGTTTAATGTTTGTTCAGTAATGCCCAACTGAGCAAACAATGCTCTGAAGCAATTAACTGAACAAATGTACATTTGAAAGGATAGACACTTTCACAACTTCAGATATGTCATATATTTCAACTCTCCTCTAAACTCTCTGTTTTCTTTCCAGGCAAATATTAAAGGAATTTAAGAAATAATAATAAAATAACCTTTTTTGTAACCTAACAAAATCAGTTGAGAGTAAAAGACACATTTGTTCAATTTACATATTAATTAAATAAAATTCAACATTATAATTCTTGCCAGAGAAATAAGTTTATGAAGAATATCATATATATTTGAAATAAACTTAATTTTGAAAGTCCTAGAAAAAGCCTAAGTCATAAAACAAAGAAAGGTGGCAAAGAAAACTAGTCTGAGAATGTATATAAGATTTAAGAGATACCTCAAATATCAGACTGAGGAAAGGTTACAGGCCATGGTGATTTCATCCATAGTAAGTCATATACAGAAAGAATATGATGGAGAGTCCTGGTGATTTAGAAGATCAGCCACGTTGAGAGTCAAAAATTCATAACATTTTGAGATTATCCTGAGAAAATGAGGACGTCAGTAGGTCAATTCAGAAAAGCACGAAACAAAAGTTGGTTGGTAACAAGTTGACTGGTAACTCCTGGAAGAAAACCAAGTTGGGGACTCAAAGCTGGACCCACAGCGCAAAGAGTGGAAGCCAGTGTTTCCATAGCCCAAAGCCCCAAAGCCCTTATTTCCACATCCTCCAGATGTAGCATAATTTTCCCGGCAGGGTCTGCAGAGGATGGGATTCTTTGGGTAGTAGCAGGAATTCTGGTAGTTTCTGAGAACTGTATAGGGTCTCTGGAAGCTGGTGGGCTCACAGTAGGTCTCCTGACAGCCATTGAATATGGATGAGCCCACCTGGCTGGTGCTGGGATCGTAGATCACATTGTTTGGGTAGAAAGCATCATAGGTAGGAAATCGGTACCCCAGGTAACCTCCAACAGAATGAGAAGAAAAGGTCCCAGAGCTGTCGTTGTAAGACATGCTGTCAGGAGTTTTAGAGCTGAGGCAAGTTTCAGCAAGGAGTCTGTGTTTGAATGATCCCTTCTATACTCAGCACGCACATATATACCCCAGCAGAGGGGGCAGTGCCATGTGCCCATTTAATGAGAGACTTAATTAGGTACCAGTTAAAATGCCATATATTAATCTTCAAAGTCCTTTTTATGAATGCAAATTTTAAATGAAAAATTTCATTAGATTTTCAAAGAAACTTATCATGAAATAAAAACGTAATGTCTCAGTCATCCAGCTGAAAGGATGAATGAATACCACTTTAATTGCACCCATAAGAGTGTTGTTTTATTTGTTCTATTCTTCAAGATATTAGATTGGATGAGTAAAAAGAAATAACCTTCTTGTATGTAAAGCTTTAGACAGTAATTTTTGGTCTTCAGTGAACATTTATTTTTCTCCAATATAAAAATGAAGGATATAACTCACAATATTTATTACATTCCTAAATTTGGGAGACCTTATAGAAGCAACAATGCCATTATCAACTCTTACTTTGTAGAAAGGCCAAATGATTGCATTCCTCACACATTTAGATTTTAATTTCTTATAAACAAACAAACAAACCATTCTTGTGTACATAATTTGCCAGGGAAAGTCTAATATTTGAAATAAAATTTTGGTGATTATGTTGTAAGAATATTTACACCAAGGTCCTCCTTGTTCTGAATTTGGCTTATTTCTGATAGAAACCTCCCCCCACCCAAATGGAACGCTGTATTGCAAACTTGATTCAATAAATTTGATTACAATATATCCTCCATTCCCATAATGATTGGGTCATTTTTGGTAGTTTTGATGTTTCTTATTGAGAACAAAATAACATGCATGGAAAATAAACCTTTATTCTTACTTTTCTCTTAAGATGGGATTTTTGAATTAGAGACTGTAAAGGAAAAAAAGAAACGAGGAGAGTATCTAATCTGTGTAGGAGACTTTCTTAATTATTAAGGATGAGAAAATTTAATATCCCCTATTCTTCAACTTGGTTAGGTTCTAAAGACCAAGTGTTTAAGTGAAGATTGGTGTTAAGCAAAAATGTCCATACTAGATCAGAAAATGAACATGAGGTCATCAATATATAACTTCAAATTCCATTTTCAAGTATGTGCCAAACCATTGAAAATCATGACCCTGTTAATGCACATACCTTTTTAAATATTGTCATCAATGCAAATTGCTGGATAATGAGATCTCAATAAATGCATGGAGGTAATTACAAATGTCATTTATAAATTGGAATATGGTAGAGAAGTAATCAAAAATTATGAAATTATTCAATGAGAAAAATAAGAAACATATTATGGCATCACTTACATGAAATAATATGTGGAAACCACAAGCAATTAATATTATCAGGAGCAGATGGGAAGGGGAAAGAGAACCATTTTTACTTAGAGGATATGGAATGTATGTTAATGATGATGAGATAATTTGGAAAATGGTAGCTGCAATGCTTGCACAAGTTAATGAACTATATATGTAGGAAGTTAATAAAGTTTTAGGTTTTCTGTGGGTAAATACATATTTTCATATATATTTCATATATATGAAAATAAAAGTTGGCAAAGGACATGAATACGCAGATCAAAGGAAATAAATACAAATAAACCATACAAAACTCACTGCCATCTAGTCAAATCTTACCCATAGAGACCCCATAGGACAGGGTCGAACTGTGCTTAACAGTGGAACCATTAGGGCACCGTGGCTCTTCTAGCTGTATATATGAATCGATTCTGTCTTATAGAATGGAGCAGAACTCTGCCACAGGCTTTCCAAGACTGTAAGAGTTATAGAAGCAGACTAGTACACCTTTCAAATATCAGCTGGGCACTTAACCACTGTGACACAAAACTTCTTCACAAATAGCTGTAAACATATAAAACATATTCCATTTTGTTCATAAATAAATCTAAATTACAAACATAGCAGAGTGAGAATGGTTGCATTTTGGGAACTCTAATATAGCATATTTGTCAAAGGACATCTACTGCTTGGGAGACAAACAACATGAAGGTTTTTTTGAACTTTGTCAAAGGAGGATAACCTTAACTGTAAATATAAGGAATCATATTGTAGGATATTGTTTAAAATTAGTTGTGAAATAGGCAGGATATACTTGAGATTGTCATTTTAAAAAATGAATTAAATTGCTCAATTGAAGAGAGCTGGGTTTTATTCTATGAAAGTTCGCATTATTAGGTGGAAGTTTAAGGGAAGTGGAACCAAGCACCTGAAGTCGATTATTCTTATAGGAAACAAACTTTTCATCTTGAAAATACTGGGGATGTTGAGTCAATGTCTTTTAAGTGGGAATCCACTCTGGTAAAGAACTGGAGATTATTACCATGACTCCTTTAAATTTTTAGAATTTATGAGTCTGAACATTTTAAGTAAACACAATTATTGTAGTGTTTTATTTACTAAGAGTCATAGTATGTCCTCTCTTTGGAATACTAACAATTCTTATTTATTTCAAATTGTATCATTTGTTATTGTTAGATGCCATTGAGTCACTTCCAGCTCACAGCAACCCTATGCGTAACATAATGAGTCACTTCCCTGTCCTTGGCCATTCTCACAATTGTTCCTATGCTTGATTCCACTGTTGAAGCCACTGTGCCAACCCACGTTGTTGAGGGCCTTCCTCTTTTTCACTGCCCCTCTACTTTACCAAGCATGGCATCCTTTTCCAGGGACTAGTCTCTCATAACAACATGTCCAAATTATAGAACACAAAGTCTTAGTATCCTTGCATCTAAAGAACACTGTGGTCATACATCTTCCAAGACACATAGGTTTGTCCTTTAAGCAATCTTAATATTCTTCTCCAGCAAAATCATTCAAGTGCATTAATTCTTCTTCAGTCTTCCTTATTCAATGTTCAACTTTTATATGCATAAGAGGCCATTGAAAATACTATGGTTTGGATGAGGCACACCTTAGTCCACAATGTAGCACCCTTGCAATAAATATTCTAAAGAGGTTTTGTACAGCAAATATAGCCAATGCAATTTGTCTTTTGATCTCTCATCTATTTCTTCTATGAGCGTTGATTGTGGATCCAAGCAAGACAAAATCTTTAATAACTTCAACGTTTTTCCATTTATCCAAATGTTAGGTAATATTAAGTATTGGGCCAGTTGTGAGAATTTTGGTCTTCCTTACAGTGAAGTGCAATGCATACTGAAGACTGACATCCTTGAACTCTAATAGCAAGTTTTTCAAGTCTTTGTTTTTTCAAGTTATTTTCAGCAAGTTAGCTTGTGTCATCTGCATAGAGCAGGTTGTTAATAAGCCTATCTCCCTTCCTGATGCAGCGTTCTTCTTCATATTATCCAGTTTCTGTGATTATTTGCTCAACATACAGATTGAATAAGTATGGTGCAAAAATATTCAAAGTACTGTTGGTCTGTGTACAAGTTCGACAGGAGCAAAAGCAAGGAATTCCCATTCTTCTCAAATTTCTTCATAGTTTATGATCTACACAGTCATTGGTTTACTCCATAAAGCACAAGTAAACATCTCTCTTGTGTCCCTGCTTACATTAAATTGACCTTAACTCTTAGTGGCCCCGTGCATAATGAGACAAACAACGTCTAGGCCTGCATCACCCTCTCGATCAGTGCTATATTTTGAGAGAATAGTTGCTGCTGACACTATGTCAATCCAATTTGTAAATTCACCTTTTATTTTAACATTTTATTTCATTACCTCCTATTTTATCATGCATCATGCTTTTCTATTAGGAATAATCTCTTCTGAAATATGTCCAAAGTCCATGAAATGAAGTCATGTTATCCTTGTGTCTAATGAGTATTCTTACTGTACATTTTCCAACAAAGATTTGCTCCTTGTTCCGGCAACATGATATAGTCAATATTCTTTGACAATATCATAATTCAAAGACATAAATTCTTTTTCAGTATTCAGGGTTTGGATCAGGTACACCTTAGTTCTCAAAATAACATCCTCATTTTTTAACATTTTAAGAAGGTCTGATATAAAGTTGCTATGAGTTTGGTTTTGACGTATGCCGTCAAATTGTCCAAGCAAAACATACTTTGATTTCTTCACTGCTTCTTCCATAGGCATTGATTGTGAATGATGCTGTTGCTCATTGATCCAGTTGTGAGGACATTTATTTCCTTTATGCTGAGGTATAGTCCATACTAAAGGCTGTATTTATTTATTTAGTCTTAACCAATAAGTGCTTGTGGTAGTTATATAATCCTTTGTCAATTTGAGAGGATTAAGCATGAAGGTGTGGAGTCTAGCCTGTCAATCAGGTCATAGCAAGTGAGGTCTCTGTATGGGCATGGCCTTCTCCTGAGGATTCTGGGAACTCCTGTCTTCCTCCTTGGAGGCAGAAGACACTCTCTCTCTCAGCTCACTCTATGCAAGACATTTCTGACCAGAAACCACATGAAGCTCCCCTGATGCAGCCAGAGCCCTGGGAGCTGAAGAATCCATGCAAATATCCCTGCCAGCATTAAGATGCTTGTAAAGCCACTAGATTCACAAGGCTTCCCACCCACTGGTCTGTGATTTTCCTACATTTGGCGTCATTGCATGTGTTTCATGAGTCTGAAGAGGACTTTATAGATTGGTATCAGACATATGGACTAATGAGTTAGTTAAAGTTTTTTGAGCCAACCTGGCCAATAAACACATGTGTGGTTAACTGAGGGGTGGAGAGATAAATGGTTCAGTGAGCCTCACCTTTTTAGTTCTCGGGTCTCTTGCTTTCTGATGGTCAGACCAGGGTGCAGCTGCCTCAGCCTGTTCTCTGCTTCAGCTAGCAAGACTCACTTCCTGCAAGACATCCCTGAGGAGAAGCCACATGGACCTACCCTGATACAGCCCTGGGTGCTGGAGCAGCTGTGTGGAGACCCCTGCCAGCACTGAGATGCTTACACGTTCACTGACTCGGCTTTCCTCCTACAGCTGGCATCATTACTTGTGTT